AGTTTAGTCACAGTAGATATACAGTATAGTCACAGTAGATATACAGTATAGTCACAGTAGATATACAGTATAGTCACAGCAGATACACAGTATAGTCACAGTAGATATACAGTACAGTCACAGTAGATATACAGTATAATCAGTATATATACAGTATAGTCTCAGTAGCTATAGTATAGCCACAGTATTGTATAACCGTGACAACTGTCTCATTCTAGAACATCATCATCCCAATGACGCCCTCTACCTGCTAGCATGCAGGACCATTCCTATCCTCCCCATATCCCAACACTGAATGCATTTTATGAGTGAGCACTCAGTTCTAAATGGAAACAACTCCCCTCCAGGATCAGGAACCCATGCAGAGGAGAAAACAAAAAGATTGTAAGAGCCAGGGGTGACGGATGACCCCTAGGAAGCAGTGTCTTCCAGATACAAGAGGACTGATGGGCATGAACTCACAGAGGCTGTGACTGCACACCCAAGACTGCACGGGCTCAAGCTAGATGTGGTGCCAGCACTGAGAGCAGGAAGTGGACCCAGGGTCCCACCCTAACCATGAAGCTATTTGTAATTGACACCCACTGGTAAAAGGAAAATCAGTTTTCTCCAACAAAGTGTCGCTGGTTGTATCAACCACACTCTGGGGCAATCACCATACCTAGGAGTAGATGGCCAACACCAGTGAACTCCATGGTGTGTGTGTGTGTGTGTGTGTGTGTGTGTGTGTGTGTGTATACACGTGTGCACCTATGTGTGTTTGTGTGTGTTGTGGACTTTTTGTTTCATTTTGGCATTTTTTTGTCTTGTCTTTTTGCTTCTTCATTTTGATTTTCATTTTGTAGGGTTTATTTACTTTGGTTTTCTTTCTCTTTTTTGCTTTTTTATTGTTGTTTTGAGAGAGAGAGAGAGAGAGAGAGAGAGAGAGAGAGAGAGAGAGAAAGAACATAAATAAAGTTGGGAAGTAGGGAGGTGGGGGAGGGTCTTAGAAGAGTTGGGGAAGAGGAAGGAACATGCTCAAAATATATTGGATGAAAAGAATTGTTTAAGCCAGGTATTGTGGTTAGTCCCAACAATCAGAAGACAAAGGCACGCAGATCTCTATAAGTCTGAGGCCAGTTTGATCTTCAGAGTTGTTTACCTGGGGACTTCACCGCAGCTCCTGGCATAAGCTCCCTCCCCTGGGAGTTGCCTCAGTCCAAACTCCACCTCCAAGAAAGCTGGCCAAGAGGTGTGATCCCTCCCTAGGGAGGATTAAGAAAACCTGCCAAACAGTAACCCCTCCGCAGGGAAGGTCAGGGCTATAATGCAAACCCGCTCTTTATGCTACACCTGCTCTATGGGCTATGCACTATGGTACGGTACTGTAGCGCCTGTACTACATGTACTATGGTAATATGCCCGGAGCATACCATCTGCACTATGAGACAGTTCACAAGCTGGGCAAGGGGCTGGAGATTGAAACACATACACACAAAGACAAAGACAGGGGTCATCCTTGAAACAGGAATGCCAACTCTATTGTGTTCCAGGGCAGCTTATATAGGGTCTCCTTAACTAAATGACCACGCCCTAACTCCTAGCTGCAAGCCCACCAGAAACCACTCCCTGTCTCGTGCTCAAAGCAGCTGCAAGTACAGGAAAACAAGTTGTTTGCTCAGAGCAGCTGCAAGAAAACAAGTTGTTTACAGGAAATTCAGGGTCTGGAGGTCCACAGCCCCCAACATGGTATCACTCCCACAGGGTATTTAAACTGTGCCCCCACAGAGAATGAACACATGGTCTTCAGGTTACCCATGGTCTCCCCTTCTCTCTCTTCCCCTCTCCATGTTTTCCCAGGGCCACCCAGGAGTATTGCCACCCATTAAACATGGGCATTTTTTAATTAGGTCTGATTTGGTCTGATTGGGATTATTTGCATCGGCAGAGATGTTTGGCATCTAAGAAAAAATACTTAACAAGAGTGAGTCCCAGGACAGCCAGGGCTACACAGAGAAACTCTCTCAAAAGAAACAAAGAAAGAAAGAAGGAAAGAAAGAAAGAAAGAAAGAAAGAAAGAAAGAAAGAAAGAGAAAAATAATTTTTAAAAAATCCCGCTATATTTGCAGCAAGATGACTTATGCTCAAAGAGTCAAACTGAGAAGCTAGTGACTTAGCTGCTCACTGTGACTAAAATGTGAGCAGATAGGAAGCCTCTACAAAGGGGTGAGCACCCAGGTAATTGTCTTTTCTTTGTGTCTGAAGCTGAGTCACCTTCAAGAGTGCCCTGAAATCCATGCTCTGTGTGGTTGGTGAGTGATGGAGGCCTGCCTTTCAGGGGAAATCAAAAAAGCTGAAAAATCTTCCTGCAACCACTCAGAGCAAACAGAAGTACTATGGGGATCTGCATATTTATAGACAAGCAGTCTACACGGCAGGCAACTTTTGGTGAGAGGAAGGAGGGTGTCAACAGACACAGTACAGAAATAGTAGCCAAGAAGATGTGGAGACGGTCCTCCCATGTTCTGAGGCCCAAGAAGGTAGCAGAAGACTCCAACTGCTGGAGGCCAGCCATACTTGCTATCCAAAGACGGAGCTTCCAAAACTGGAGAAGGTCCTGGAGCAGAAGTAGGAAAAAGAAACTTTGAGTTCAGGAGATCCGAGCGTGGGTGGTCTGGGAGACACTCAAGAGTTCTAGATTTCCAATGCTATGGCTAACCACAGGCAAACAAAATAATTCTTGCAGAAACTCTCTGTGATTTGAGTTTGCTGCAATGTGGGATTAGGATTGACAAGGAGAAGTAGGGGTTTCAGTGGACAATAGAGAGGCTACTTAGCAGGTTGTACTTAACCAGCAACTGAATGGCACCTAATGATGGGTCAAGACCAGGACTGGCTCAGAGGGTACAAGCACTGCGTCCTACAAAAGTCTGATGAGCTGAGTTCAACCACCAGAACCTGAATAAAAAAGCTAGACACGGTGGCACACGTCTATTACCCCAGCACTCTTACAAAATAAGGAGAGACGGGAACAGGAAAATCTAGATTCTTAACCAGCCAACAAGTCTGGTGAGCATAGTACATTATGGCAGCAACAAGGAGGAACCTGCTTCAGCATGGCGGAAGGAGAGAGCTGACTCCCAGAAGTTGTCCTCTGACTTCCACACCGGTGTTGTGTGGTGCGGGAGAATTGTCTGTATTCTGTCAATCATGTTTTAAATAAACGCTGATTGGCCAGGCAGGAAGTATAGGCAGGTCAACCAGACAGAAAGTAGAGGTGGAGCCACGAGAACAAGAGAATTCTGGGAAGGAGGAATCACATTCCTCCCCAGTCCTGCCCAGACCACCAAAGAAGTAGAAGTTGACCTGCCCCACTGAAAAAGGTACTGAGCCATGTGGCTAACATAGATAAGAATAATGGGTTAATATAAGCTACAAGAGCTAATAAGAAGCCTGAGCTAATGGGCCAAGCAGTTTATAATCTTATGGAGACCTCTGTGTGATTTTCTTTGGGACTTGCCGGCTGTGGGAACTGGGCAGGACATAAACCCCAACAAGCCCAGCCCTAATGTTACAGTTGTGGCATATACACAGATAATAATATAAATTAAATTAGAATTGCTTTAGAAAAGGACAGATGAGAAGGGAAAAAGAGACACCATAAAGAAAGTAAAATTGAGACTGTCGATATTAATATCAACAGTAACTACTAAGGATTAGTTTCTTCTCGAAATGACAAAGGTCACCCATGCCCACTTTCCCCTTCTATTCACTTGGCTCCACCCACCTTGGGATTGTCTTTAATCTACCACCACTATAGCCCTAACGCCACTGAGGCTCTTTGGTCGGTCCTTGGAGAATGACTCATAGTGGCATTTTCTGTCAAGGCGCTCTATTTGGAAGTCATCCTTTCTCAATGACTAACATACAAACACAGTTGAATCTGTCTCAAAAACTCATTTACTTTAGAGTCTAATTTGAAAGATCTGAGTCCCAGAAGTCTGTTCTAATAAGAATCTTGTGAAGTCTTCATGTGTCAATCAAAATCTTCATATGTCTCTTTGCAAGATCTTCTCCCCAACGGAGACAAAAATGAGGATAAAAGATGCAGGAGCCCGCCACTGCTAAAACGTTTTGAGATCTCTCATCTGAACTGACTCTGAATTAACTTAAAGACCACTTCAGCAAATCAGGTACATTGCGCAGTCTATTTATAACGTGAAAGTCCCAGGGTTAGGATGTGGTCCTTATTGGACAAGGTCAACCCATTCCACCGAGAGTCCTCTACTTGGGGCATGTACAACACCTTCCCTTTGTGCCTATAAGGTAATTCTATAGTTTATTGGTTGATGGTAGGCACTTCATTTAAGCATCTCTGGGCTTTTGTTTTCTCAACCCTATGAAGAGTGAGGTGAGTGGGAGGAGGCAGGGCTTCACCATTAACATTCCTTTCAGTTCTGTGAGCTGTGATCCTGCCACTGTTGCTGAGGAAGCCTCCAGACATGATCATAAACCATGATCATAAAATCACCTATGCCTTCCCTATCCCCAGTTTTACCTTCATCTTGTGTTGCTCTATTGCAGAATACTACAGTCTATCTTCTTGTTTGCTGCGGGGTTGGAAACCAAACCCAGAGCTTTGTTAGGCAAGTGCCCTGCCACTGAGCTACGTAAAATCTACAGTAAGGATCTGAGTGTCACATACCACTAGAGACACAAAGGCCCTTAAGAACAGGAACACATGTATCACCTATAGCATATAATAGAATGTTCAAAACAACCCAGGCTTAAGCATAAAAATTTATTCTCTCCCAGGGAGCTATCTGAAGGAAGTCCCTGACTGATACGAAAGCGACAGGATGAAAAGATCTTCTAAATTCAGACCTACCTTCCTTCGTGCATGGCTTCTATACTTACAGTGCAAGGTAACTAGGGAGGCTAAAGATACTGTATTCAAATTCCAGGTCTAAGAAAAAAGAAAGAAAGAAAGAAATGGGGGGCTTCAAAATAAGCAAGCTTCCTCACTATATCAACCCCCATTAGCAAGCCTTCCTCGAGACCCACGCAAGACATTATATTTGGTTTTTAATTATCAGAATGTACAAGAATACACATGGGTGCAAGAAACTAGGAAAGGCGGCTTTTAAATGGGTACACTTCTGTCTTCGTTGACACCAGGATGCACTTCTGCTTTCAATTATGTCAGGGTTCTACAGAGTGGGGCTAACACAGAACAGACGCCAGGTAGACAGCCGACAGTGCCAGCCATGCCACCCTTGTGATTCCTATGGAATGTCAAACTTCCGGTGGAAGAGCGTGTTAAATATGATATGACTGACAGCAGGCAGGTGATCTGACCCGGGAGCCTGTTTTGCTTTCAGCTTGCGTAAGCAAGCATCTGGTAGGCTGGTCCATGATACAGGAGACAGGCAAACAAAAATGTTTTCTCCAGTCTTTGTGAATTTCAACTGATATCTTCTCTTGGAAATTAGAGTCCTATGTGAAAAATGGGAAAAAAGTTACTTCAATTTTCAAAACCACCATGACTTCTTCATTGGATTGGAGGTGAAAATGCACTGAGCCATAGTCTACCCTGATGCTCCTGCTCACAGAGTCTTGCAGGCTGAGAAGAAGAAGCCACAGCTGAAGGAGTCATGGTAGGTCACAGCGGCTACCTTGTGTGATCTGATTATGCCACAAATCCATTACCTCCCCAGAAAAATATGAGAGACCCAGAAAAATATTGTTTTGTTACTAAAACATACAACACAACTAGTCAAAATATCTCTATCTCAAAATACCACATAGCGTGGTATTAACCTGTCTACCTGCATGCCGTAGATTTGGTTAACCTCATTTGAACTGTCCTTGAGAGAAAACAGCTTTAGGGAAGTTAGAATGAATGAAAGAACTGGATAATGACATCTGGCAGTGCCTTTCAGAGCAGCACAGTAGATGCAATAATCAACTATTAAAAATATAATGGCCAAACATGACAAAACAGTTTTAAAAGGTATGAAAACTATGACTTTCATGCTTGTGTCTCTCAAAGTGTTTATGTTGGAACTTAAATCCCAATGTGTGGGGGCAGGGGGCTGAAGCCTGTGGGAAGAGAGTCAATCTTGAACAACATTGTCAACCTTGGAAAGGGTGGAGGCATGTAACCAAGCTTTTCTTTCTTTAGCCCACACACCATGTCAAGACACAGCATTCATCTCCCCGCTGGAGGATACAACTATAAGGTGTCATATTGGAAGCACCACACAGCCCTCAGCAGACACCAACGTGCATCTTGACCTTGGATTTCCCCAGAAATCAATATATGATCTTTTGAACTACTCTTTCTCTGGTGGTTTTTTTTCTTTCTTTCTTTTTTAAATAACAGCGCTAATGGACAAAGATAATATGGAATATACTTTTAAAAGTAAGAAAAAAATAGCTAATTTTAAAATGTTGAAGAGTGATATTTCTCAATCTTTTTAGACATCATAGAATGTCTAGCTCTCAACCTAGTCCATCAGCAATGGGTGTTAAGACAGAGCAGTGAGCCATAATGTCTGAAAGTGTTCAAGGACTATATCCTTAGTTTTAAACACACGTGGAGGGGCATGGCAGGAGAAAAACACACTACTTGTTCTTTTTTGGTAACATAGTCCTTATACTTAACACACTTGAAGATCTGCCTGCCTGTCCCCTCTCCATTGTGACTGTAAGTGATGGGGAAAGGTGTAAAATTCAGATCAACTAGAAGGTTTTCTCTCTCCATTCTGGGTGTAAGCATTTACAATGTTTACATGTTATCAGAGAAGTAATTGTCAAGAAACAACAAAATAATTAATTTTATTGACACCTAATAGTATCTTAAGCAATGCCAAAATTGGAGTCTCAACCCCTTTCTAACATACTTCCAACTGATGGAAATTATTTTATTTTAAAAATTATGTGCAAGAAGAGCCTACTTGGGAGTGGACAGTAAATACAAAAAAGGTTGATCAAACGCTGGATTTCATAGGAGACAGAACTGCAGGAAATAGATGTCTGCACACATTGGAACTGGCTGAGCTGATGGTGGATTCTGCTCCACACCTCAGTTTGATGCTCCCACTGCCCTATTCCATTTGCCCTGCCTCCTAGTACTCTCTCCTCCCATCCATGCTCCTAAAGTAACTCTTCACCCATGGGAGAACATCTTTACAATCCCCAGAATTCAGCCAGCATAATATTGAGTTAGAAGTGTCACCCCAGCCCCTTGCCTGGGAATTGCCCTGGTTCAGACTCCAGTTCCCAGCCTGCCATGCACTGACCTCTCCCTGGGAAGGGTCAGGACCACTCCCACAGGCTATTTAGGCTCACACTGGAAAAAGGAACACGTGGTCTCCAGGGTTTGCATGGGCTCCTCTCCCTGCCATGCTGTCTCAGTCCACCTGAGAGTGCTGCATTTATTAAACAGGGGCATTTTAATTTGGTCTAATCTGGTTTAATTGGAGTTATTTGTGTTGGTGGAGCAGCTTTTCTTAAGATTAAACCAAACAGACCTATAAGAGAACTGGAACAGATTTACATCTTGGTGTCATAGCAAAAGGCTATTGCTTTAGGTAAAGGAAACTGGGAACTCCGAACCTTTGAAGACATACCTGAAACCTGTTAGTCCTGGACTATGAAGCCTCTGAAAGAGGCATATCTGTCTGTATTTTAGCAGGAAACTTTATTAAATGTCATGGATGAAGTAATAAGGTAACAATACCTTAAGTTGTCAAATGCCATTAGATAGATCTGGGAGGGATAAATGAGCAAAAATGAGGCAGCTTTTTAGCTATGCAGGCTAATCCTCTCCTTAGTCCTTGGAGAACACCAGTCTTAGAAGCAGTGTTTGCTGCTTCGAACTCATTATTACAGCCAGAAGCTCTCCTTCTCTAAACACCTCTTAGGACAACCCGGTCCGGGATCACAGCTAGATGTGACTTCACAGTAGGCTCTGTGCATTCGGTTGAGCGCTGTACCGTCTCCTGTTTGATCTGATCAAAACATGAGCTTTCTGTCTTGTTGGGCTTTGTCCTTGTCACTCTGTCCTGTTCTCCTTAGCCCCAGCAGGAAAAGCTCACCAGGCCACACTCAACTGTTCATGTGAAGACTGAGTTGGTCTCAGATGCTGCTGTTCTGCAGGCTGGGGAGCAGCGTCAAAGGAAAGGTCTGGAGAGAAAAGCCTTAAAGAAGTCACAAGGGCAGGCAGGCGGCGAGTTGTTATGGTTACTAGGGAGCTTGATGCTCTAGCCATCTCCCCATCACAAGGCAACCCGTCTCTGTGAAGCAAAAGAAGACACGCAGGTTTTCACACCACGTGAGCTGACAGAGCAAGGATTTAGTCACATCAACTCTTTGTCACAGAAACACTAAAGTCAGAGGCCACCAGGGTAATGAAGGGAATATGTATGGAAAGCTTCTTGGTAGACATTTAAGACATAAAAGACTAAAGTTGGAGCTGGTGTTCCCTGTGCTCTCTGAGTGTGGCTATGATGTTCTTTGTTTCTGTTTTTTCTTGACTCCGAACTAAACATCACTTCTCTGTCCCTGTGGCTCTTCCTCAACAATGAAGACAGGCCTGGGCAGTGGGGAAAACAATGGGGCTGGAACCCAAGCTGGAGGGTCCCCTTCCACCTGAGCCAGACTATGGTTTCCTAGGCTCCAGATGGTGATCATGATTGTTAAAAAGCAACCATTATCCCTGTTAATGAGGATAATAAAACAGAACGATTCACGAGCATCCACAGCATATGGAGCCCCTACAAAACACAGATTTACCCAGCATTGCTGGGAAATGAAGTTTTCCACACCAGTGAGTTTTCTGGAAAATTAGGGCTTACCTCTTTAGCTTCGATATTTTTTTTCTGAACATATTAACCATTTGGGATGGAAATACATGTCAAATATGTAATATACATCTTCCTGTGTTGCTGAAGAGCATAACAAACACCATACAAACCTTTTTTTTTTTTTTGACTGTCTCATTATAAACATGCACTCAAGTACTGGGAGGAGGAGGCCCCATCTATTACATATGCAAGTCTTATTAGGAAAGTGACCCACTTTGCCTAGACTTAGCTGTAAGGCAGTGCATCTAACTTAAGTAGGAACAAGGCTTTTCTACCCTTGACTTTGCATCCTCCAGCCTTGCCACTCAAAAGATCAGTTTCCAGAGTAAGAACTCAGTACCACCTGGGACTTAATCAGAAGCACAGACTCTCTGGCCCCATCCCAGCCCTGCTGAAAGAATTGGAATATGGGTTTTAACAGGAAGCTTGGGTGATTCATATGCACATTAAAGTGAGGGAGCTCAGCTCTCCAGCTGTGCTTGCCAGCAGGTTCCTGACCAGCTACAACCTTATCTCCTGAACACGCTTGTCGGAAACCCAAAGGGTCCTGTTCAGGCCTAAGATCAAAGTCTCCGGGGACTGAAACCAGCCATCTATTTTTACCACACCCTTTGGATAATGTTGAGATGCGCCAAAGTTATCAGTGTCCAGCTCTCAGTCTGGCTCACAGGACTCAGTGTTTGTTAAAGGAAATGGGATTCCTGTATTCCTTTCATCTAAAAAGAGGAGACTCCCACATCTGATGTTCTCACGATGGTGAAGATCACCGGCTGGGCCAGGCAGTGGTGGCGCACGTCTTTAATTCCAGTACTTGGGAGGCAGAGGCAGGTGGATAACTGTGATTTCGAGGCCAGCCTGGTCTACATAGTGAGCTCCAAGACAGTCAGGACTATTTCACAGAGAAACCCTGTCTCAAAAAAACAAAAAAACAAAACAAGCAAACAAGTCACCTGCTGGCAGCTAGGAATGTAACTGAATGGTGGAGCACTTCCCAGCATGCTTTGGGATCCACATCCAATTCCCTGCACCACAATAAAAGCAATCAATTAATTAAGCACTGGCTTTGCTAACTAGAAAAGGCTGCATACACAAAGACCATGCATTACATTATTTTGCTTAATTGTCCTGAATAGACATAACCATAGAGGCAGAAAGTAAATGAAATAGGAAGCATTTGGTAATGGGTCCAGGGGTTTCTTTTTAGGACAAAGAAAATAAAACATGAAATCTCATAGTGGTGACAGATGCACAGCACCATAAATATACTAAAATCCCTCAATGTTTATAAGTGAAAATTAAATTGCACATTGGCTTACACATTTAGAAAGACTGAATTTATAGTGTTCAAATTATATATCAGTTTTAGGAAAATCTTAGGCTTTAGAATGAACCTGTTCAAAGAAGTTCAGATCCTGATCCTGCCAAATTGTAGCCATGTAACGTTGCACAAGCTAAATAACCTCTCATTTAAAAAGATGACAGTAGTGTATCTTGTAGGGTTTTTTTTATGAAATTGTTTCCAGTTTAAAGAAATTATCTGGAATTGGGGTCAGTATCTAATCACCCTAAAAATACGACATCAGGAGACCAGAATGTGCCACCCTAAAATACACCTCTTTAGATATTGACTATTCTGAGCTGGTTATTTTGAGAAACTGCAGACACAGGAGCAGATCTGCAAGGCTGCCCCTCTGGAGGGGAAATTTTTATCTACAAAGGAAATTTTCATAAATGAAGGTCTATACTAGGAAGAATTACCTGAAGTCTGCTTTTACCACCCGAGAGACTTTGATCTGTTTAACAAGGCAAATTTATTCACTATTTCCTCTCCTTACCCTCTCATAATTTATCTCTATTTCCTCAGGCTCTATTCCTTATCGTAGCTCTGGGTGCTTTACAGGCCTTAGTTATCCGGCCGTTTGCTGGGGTCTCACACTTCTATGAGACTCCTATGCAGTCATGTGCTGATAAAATGGGTTTTCTTTCATGAATGTTTCAGGCCATTTCATGTGTAGACCCGCCAAAGGGCTGAGAAGAGGAAAGGAAAATGTTTTATTATTTTGCTTTGTTTTTTTTTTTTTCTTACCCTATGTAAGTGTTGACAAATGTTCATTGCTGTAAGGGTGAAAGTGTGTGTCTGGCCTGGCCAGTCATCGTGAGGGTCACAGGGGCTCCTCCTGAAACAAAGGCCATGTTAATATTGGAAGAACAGAACCAATGACAGGAGAATCCTCAGGGTCAGGGACACAGCTCTGTGGGAGAGTCCTGTCTTAGCAGGTGTGAGGTCTAAGCCTCATTCCCCGCAACACACACACACACACACACACACACACACACACACACACACACACAGGACAAACCTGTACTTAGGTTCACTGAAGAATGGGTAGCCATATAGAAATGTATTTGACTTTATAATAATATTCTGAAGGTGAACCCAGCATGACTGGTCACTCCAGTTCCTCTTGGTCTCTCTGATTACTGATATAGGGCAGGACACCTATTAAATGGGCATCTTTGGGAGAGAAGAGAGGCCAGAGAATGAGCTTTTGCAGTTTTATGGCTTGCTTTGGGGAGAGGCTTCTAGGTTCTATGACCCACCTTGGAGAGAGACAAATTCAGATTTCTGCGATCTGCTTTTGCAGGAGTGGGGGAGCTACAAGAACGGATGACATAATAGGAGGGGAGAAAGTCTAAAAGACCATGCTTCTGATGCTTCCCAGACTCCTCCAAGAGCCCAGTATTCCAGGGTGATATTCTTTGGGATGCCATTGCCTATGTCCTGACATTGCTACAGATCCAACAATTTTCAAATTTCGAAATGTATAAATACTGTCAGATGAATTTAAGAAAATGAGTTCTCAGACTTTTCAGATTCCTGAGTCTGGGGTATGACTTCAGAATCTTAGTAAGTCTGCCATGCTAACCACAGATGGTCCACACATGGGACTTGGACAAAGGCTTCCTGAAACTCTTCGTGATAGTCAGTGTTCATTGTCAACTTGGTAAGAATCTAGAATCACCTTTCAGAAGGCCAGGGGTGGGAAGACATGCCCACTGTGGGCGGTGTCATTCATTCCCTGGCTAGAATCCTGGACTACAGACTGGAGAGAAGGAGCTGAGCAACAGCAGGCATTCATCACTCCCTGCTTTCTGTCTGTGGACAGACTGTCATCAATGGTATCAAGCTTGTACTGCCAGGACTTGCTCACCAAGATGGAGCATACTCTTGAACTGTGAGCCATAATAAGCCCTTTTCTCCCTTAGGTGACGTCTATTAGAGTATTTTATCATAGCACCAAGAAAACCAAGACACTCTTGTAAATCAAATAATAATAATAATGTTTTTAGAATTATTTTATCTTCTACTTACAATATTGAAAACAGAGAGACCATTGTTTCTATTCTTACATACACACACATGCACATATACACACACATACACATACATGCACATATATGCACATATACATACGCACATGCACACACACACATATACATGCATGTACACACATACACAAACATACACACATATATACACACAAACACACATAAACGCACATACATACATATACACACACATACACACACACAAGAGGGAGATGTTGAATAATTTGTAATTTTTCTTTTTATGAATACATCAGAGAACTGAGACTCAAAATTTAAGAAAACACAAACCTGCAAAAAAGAGAAAGAGAGAGAGACAAATAATGAGCACTTGATTACAGAAGACCGATGTCAACCATCCCAAGTAAGAAAAATTAGGCCAAGATTTCTAATAGATTTAAGGGTTGGGTCTCGGTTAGCGAGAGCGTGCCAGGCCCGTGTTAGAGCTGGCCCCCACAGGCTCTTTCTGCAGCCCTCACTGCTACACGAAGAAGAGCCGGGAGAGGAATAATTCTCCAACAACACCCATATGTGTGGCCAAGAGGAAAGTAGTAGCCACCAAGTAAAATGCAGAAAGCAGAGATGACCCTTCACCTCTGTATCACTCCAACAGAGAAAAAGAGCTAAAGAAGTGGGTAGAAAGGTGACGGACCTTGTCAGTCTTAGTACTAGTGAAAAACAAAACTAGAGGCCAACAATGGAGCTTGCAGAAGGGGTGAGATGAAAGGACAAATGTGTTAGCCATAAAGGTCACAGTATAGACTGTGTAGCAGTATAGACTGGGCTGGCCAATAAGAGGGTCCTTAATCCCATGACTCAGTATTATAATGCCTGCCTGTGGCTAAGACTCAGTGAAAACAAAAATATCTAACCCACCCCACCATGTCCCATCACCACAAGATGTTTGGCTTTTGTAAAAAAAAAAAACAACAGCAACAAAAATGTATAGGTAAAGAAAGAAGAAAAACCAAAAACATTGTAAGGCAATCAGCAGAACTGGGTCTTTCATTCACACAGGTGTGCGGCCATCAAAATGGAGACCTTAGCATACTGTGATTACTACATCAAATTCTTCAACTGAAAAGGTGCATAGCATACATGATAACATCATAGTTGGTTCCCATGAGTACATCAGAAGTACAGACAGAATCAGGTGAAAACACTAGAAATGAAAAGCCAAGAAGAGAAAGGAATAATGTTCTCAACAGGTACGGAAATGGACTTGAAACAACCAAGGAAGAGGTGGTTTTGAGGGCAACCCAACAGAATCTGTCAAATGGAAGTTAAAGACAAAAGAAGAAGGAGGAAGAGGAGAAGAAGAAGGAGGAAGAGGAGGAGAAGGAGGAGGAGGAAGAGGAGGCAGCAATATGGAAAGTACCTAAAACATAGCGAAGCACTTAAGGAGGTGCAGAGCAATATTAATATAACATGCATATATTATAAATGGGCTCTCAGGACAAGAGACAAGAGGAAAGAAATTGAAGAAATAATGTATTTAATTTTATCTTAATTTACTCTTTCAGTGCCTTTCATTTCTTTTGCAGATTTAAAGATTCTGTCTCATATCATTTTTGTCTGTGTAAAGAACAGCCTTTAATAACCCTGCCATTGCAAGTCTCCTGGCAATAAATTCAGTTTTTGTTTGCTTAAGTGTTTATCTCCTATCACATGTGTGTGTGTGCGTGCACGCATGTGAGTATGCTGGTGCATGTACCCACACACACACACACACATGCAGAGGCCAAAGGAAAGCATCAAGCATATTCCTCTATTGCTCTCTTATTGTTGGAAGCTTGCCTTTCAGCTAGGCTAGCTGACCAGCAGACTCCCCGGATCTACCCTATCCCAACCCCTAGGGACTGAGGTTGTGGCATGAACAGCCATGCACAGCTTTTATCTGAGTGTAAAAATTCAAACTCAAGTCCTTACATTTACACAGAAGCACACGTACTCACTGAGTCATTTCCCTAGCCCTTCTCCTAGCTTTAAAAGATGGTTTTGTTGAGCATAAAATTCTGAGCCGACAGGAAGTTTTATTCTGGATTTTGGTTTATTTCTAGCAGTGTATGAGCGCCAGTCCTTTGTCTTCTGGCTTGGACAGTTTCTGGCAAGAAGTCTACTGTTACCTATTTTGTTATTATTGCATTGATGTGTGTGTGTGTGTGTGTGTGTGTGTGTGTGTGTGTGTGTGTGTTACCATACTTGGTGTCTCTCGGGTTCTTGGATCCAGAGTTTATTGTCTTTGGTTATCACTAAGGTGTGAGTTTTAGACTTAGAACCGAAGAATGCTAAGCCTGTCAGACAGAGAAGGGTTAAGAAGTTTTAGAGGTAAGAGATGAAAGGGCATGGCTAATGGCGTTAGAAGTACAGAGTGATCCCCAGGGTTAAAAAGAACATTCTAAGATCTTTTTTTAAAGAGCTGCATCCCTAGGATCCCAGCATTCAGGAAGCAGAGACAGGAGGATGGCCTCAAGTTTGAAGCCAGCCAGGGCTATATAGTGAAACCTTTCTTGGGAAAGAAAAGTGAGGGTGCAGCAGATAAAGCCGGACAAGTGGGGACACATTTTGAATGGCTGTGTAGCCCACAGCAATCGTTCATCCCCAGGGTACATGTTGGGTGGTTTAAAGCAGAGGGTGAGTGTGCTCAGATTTAAACTCTTGCACCTTAATTTCGGATCATTCAGCCTACAGTGTGCACAGTATTTAGAAGTCAGGGCTGCACATTCCCCGAGATTATCTCACACTTTAGGCTCTTTCCTTTCCTCTTCCTAAATCCACACCATTTATCACTCAATAAAGACCTAGACTGTCTACAAAGCTTGCTAATGTTTAGTGACGGGGACAGTCCTCATACAGCTCTGCCATCTTTCCAGTGCCCTCTTCAGTGTGGTCACATGCCTGAGTTTGGGCTAAAAGAAGATGCTTTTAATTGCTTTGTATCACCAGGGTTAAGGCACTCAGTCACAGCAGCTGTCTTACCTGTCAAATATGCTAAATACTCAGGTGAAAGTTAAACCAGTGAGGTCTTCAGACTAATATGTATGTGACCATGTCCAATCTTCTAGGACTGCTGGGAAATTGATAAATAGGATCAGAGTAAGTACACAGAAGCCTCCATATTTTCTAGTTCATACAACATTGAGGACTCCTCATTACCATTCTAGAAGCCCTCTGACAGACTATTGAGACTCACGCTCTTAATTAAGAGTGATAAGGCACAATGCAAAGTCCCTTGCACTTGTAACAGGAAGGTCAGCATTCTTTCTGGCCTGAAATGCTGCCAACAAGCCATGGAGTTTTAGGAAGGCTTCCCTTCACTTTGATGCCTGTGTTTTGTTGCTGCTGCTGTTGTTTATCATCTGTGAAAGGAGGGAGAGTCATACCAGCCCCCGAAGTAATGATTACACCGTGGAGATAAAAATGAGGCAGCTCTGTGTGGTAGATTCCAATGATCACACCAAGTATCTCCTCTTCTCCTTTTCTCCATTCCCAGCTAGGTGACTGTGTAATTATTTAGCCACCCGTAAGGCTGCACTTCCGGGTCCTAAGGCAGGCACATGGGGGCGGACCCTTGAGAACAGGGCCCCGCGTGACCCACATGTGCGCATGCGTGGCTACCTCCACCCGCAATTCAACTAACCCCCTGTGTGCGCATGCGTGGGTCGGACATTTCAAACTGTAATTCTTTTCACAAAAGGAGCGGGGTGCATTTCCTCACACCTTGATGCTGACTTTACCTGTGGGATTTGTCTTTGCTAGAATTGTGGGTCTTGTATGTTTCTGGTTGGTCTCTCTTGATTCTTCTGTCACCGCTTCCTTCACTATGAGGACAGGTCTGTCTTCACTTAGTTGAAGATAAAAAGACATGTGCATGAGCTGAGTCACACATACCTGCCCATCCCCAGATACGTAACAGCCCTCACCCAAGATCAGCAAAGCCACCTAGCAGATCTCTGGACACATGAGCAGTAAGCATGGGCTATCATATATCACAGATTTTGGGGTTGTTTGCTGCATCATTATTTGTATAGCAGATAACTAGTAGACTGTGAGGCTGTGCCCACACACTGAACAGTACACGTGTACTATTAGCCCTTGGGAATGAATGGATATAATTATAATCAAAATTATGTAGCATGTATATCCCTTAACCTGTGAAACATTATTCTCTGAAATTATCCCTTATTATTGTTATCCCTTATCCTGTGATACATTATTCTCTCTGAAATGTTTCAGAGGGTTATAGGATCAAACTTTACATTGGGCAGGACCTCGGATATAATCTAGTCTATCATTCTTCTTGGGCACGGAGCCTCTTCCTTTTTCACTGACATGTGCTTTTGTCTGTGCTAGCAGACTTGTTCATCCCAGCACCCCTCCCTCGAACAGTTTTGAGCCATCATCCTTAAATTCTGCCCTCTTCCCTATGCAGACAGCAAAGGAGGCTGGGTCCAGCTCCATCCTCAATCCACCACTTCTCCATGTGGGCATCTGTTAGCAATGCTCTGTGTTGGGTGATTTGCAATTTTTTCCCCAGATGCGTTCAGCATGCAGCCACTTTGACAAGCTAAAAGCTGCTAATGCAGGATCATTTATTACGTTTTCCTGCACACTGCATTAATCTTAAAGACCCAGTTTAATGCACACAATGACATCTTCTCTGAATACAGAAGGGCTGGGCTACAAAGACTTATGAAGGAAGTATCCTCCTAAATTTCCGAGGGACTGGAAAACCAGAGGAATAAATTGGAAGAGAAACTATGCAAGCTGTTTTCTATTTTCTAAAGGAAGGAAGGAATTATTTAGCCAGACGCGGGGCTCTTTCGGGCACCTCACGCATTGTTATTGCTGAACAAATGGTTATTATTATTCTTAGCAATGAAGTGACTCAGGAAGGACTTTTCTTCCCTAAAAGGTATAGGAGTGTTCCCAGGTCCCATTTCTGCATCCTGAATGCTATGCTCACCTTAACAGTTGAAGGCTCTTCCCCCTCCTCTAACCTGGAAGGCAGGAGGCAGAATGCCTGTCTAGAAAAATGACAAATCAGACATGACATACATACAGACCCATTACTTCTGTCATATTTCTCCTCTTAACTTTGCTCAGCAATTAAGGTTTCCATGAGCCTCCCACTCCTTCTCAAACCCCGCTCAGGAGGCAGTTGTAATTAAATCTCCGTGATTTCCCAATGCCTCTGCGACGTAAAAGAACTTTTTCTAAGAAAAGTTTCCTTCTGGATTTCTCCCAACACGTTCCTGACTGGGCTCCGATGGTCGTCAGAGTCTTTCCCTCCTTCTCTCCAAAGTGGTAATTCAGGACAACCCCCACCTCCTCCAGGAGGTCTCCTTTGAGGACTTGGCCCACTCTCCTCTCCCTCCTCCCTCCTGTCTCCAGCCTTTCTTTCCCTCTCATTCCCGGTAAACCACTCCTCTAGCTACCACCTGTGTCCTGAGACAGGGCCACAGTCAGCTTACTCTGCAGGTAAGTGAGCCCTCACAGTACCAGTACCACTGGAAGGCCACAGTAGACTCCCTCCCCACCCTCACTCAGCAACATCCTGTTCCCCTTGAGAGTGCTGTCAAGGAACAGAGCCTTAATGAGCACCGCCTTTGTTCCCAGCTTGTTAGCATCACAAAGAGCCTGAGGTGCTGGGATTTACCTAGAGGTGGAAGACCTGGATTCTTCAAAAAAAAAAAAAAAAAAACTTTGAATAATCTTTGCAAGAATCCTCAGGCTCTTGATTTCCAGCCAGATTTGTACTCAGAACTTCAGGGGCACGTCATAAGGAAATACATAACTAAGTCTCTCAGGCTGTAAGAAAATATGTTATTTTGATGGAGACTTAAATATAGCGTATGTGTATAAAATATGAACTAACTTTGTATCACACAGTATAAGTGCCAAATAAATCTGCAACACAATACTTAGTAGAGGAAGAGCTTGGGTTGGGAGAGAGAAGTAGAGAAAGGGGAGAGTTGCGAGGCCTGGGAGGGCAGCTGTAGCTGAGAAAGCAGCCGGCTTGGAGTTGGAGTCTCCAAAGGAAGCTGCAGAAGCAGTACTTTCACAGAGCCTCCTAAACAAAGGGCTGAGCACGCTGGCACTGTCTATTTAGACTAGGAGAATAGTAAGTAGGTTTGCCTGGTTGGGATAAAACCCTGTGATGAGGAAAATGGGAAATTAGGTTCCAATGCCAAGACAAATAATCTTCATTTTGTTTCTCAATAAAAAGAACCTTAGTTACCTATTTTTTAATAGGCCCCATTAAATCTGTGTCCTGAACAGGAAATGTGCACTTATGTTGAGAATGTACAGTATTACAATCATTCAGCCACCACCAGCTATTCCTTAGAAGCTCCATGTTAACTCCTAGTTAGCCACAGTCTGTCCCACCAGCCTGTGGGTCACCCATTCTCCCATCCTATGGGGTGTGCACCTGCCAGCCTGTGGGTCACCCATCCTCCCATCCTATGGGGTGTGCACCTGCCAGCCTGCGGGTCACCCATCCTCCCATCCTATGGGGTGTGCCCCCACTATGCAATTCCTGGGATGATCTTTGTGCTTCCCTCAAAAATAGAGGCAATTCAAAGAAACTTCAAAGAAAGACCTCTTAGTACATCCCTCATCCACAACTGCCCATTCTGCTTCCATTTCTTAGAAGCTATACTTCCTGCCTGGTGCTTCCACCAAGCGCTAGATCTCTGTAGTACTTATGAAACGTGTTTGTGTGTGGTACACACATGTGTGGAGTACATGTGCATGCGCATGTATGTGCATGGACATATTGAGGTCAGAGAAAGAAGACATTGGCTCTCCCCCATCCCCATCCTTCCCCCCTCCCCGCTCCCCGTCCCCTTGAGATGAGTTCTCTCACTGAACTTGGAGCCTGTAGTTTTTAGGCTAACCTGGTGATCAGGCGAGCCCTGGTGATCCTCGTATCGCTTTTCCCCTCCAGTGTTGAGGATACTGAAGAATGATGGAGATCTGAGTTTAGGTCCTCACATTTGCACAGACAGTGCTCTTAGCCGTAAACGCTATCGCCCCATTTGCCTGGGTCAGTAGACTAAAACAAATGGAGTGCCAAGCTAATAGTTAGCTTGCCTCTGGAGGCTAACTGGCTAATGTTTACACTCCTCTTTTATTATATGGTTAAATTTTTTAGCTATTCTCCCCTCAGTGACTAAGAGTTGGCTCTATCTTCCAGAAAATTCTTTTGTACCTCCCTCTGACATGTCACCTCTTATCCAACAGAAGAGTTAAAATCATAGCCTCACCAAGATGAAGCAGTCAACTCGCCCTTCTGAGCATGTCTTGGACCAGATTCTGAACAGTCTCCAAACAGCCCAGCATGCCTGGAAAGCCCTCCCACTCCCCATGCCAAGCCATGTGTCTCCTATCATTTAAGTAATCTCCAAAGCCCACCCTCTCTGTGATCCCTCATGACTTCAGAGAAGAACAAACCCTTCCCCTCATCAGATCCTGACTCCTCATGAAAGGCTTCTGGCCCCCTTCCCTGAAACCACCCAAACCCCAACTCAGGCTCCGCATTCTCTCCTCACCCCTAAACATGTGTGTCCTTGAACTGCACCAACTCTAAATAGCCTACACCCCAACTCATCTCTGGTGTGCTAAACCCTTTCTGTCAGCCCAAACAATCTTGGGCTTGTTAGGATCAAGGAAGTAGCCTTGGTTGAGGTTGTTTTCTTCAGCAAATTGAGACAAGACCATGAGAAACAACCGTTTGCTCATAGAATACTCCCCAGCACATTCCAAAACCTGCAAATGCTTAAACCCCTTGTGTAATCTGCATGGCATTTGCATGTAGGCTGTGTGCACCTCTGAACTACTCAATAAGACCTAAACACCAGAAATTGTAAAACAGTGGTGCTGCAGTGACGAGTGAACAATGGCAAGGAAAGCCCAGGCACATGTCTGGTGAAGACGCAGGGGTTTTCTTAGCTTTTATCCAGCTAGCATGCCTTTGCACTGCAGCCAGCTAAAGCTGTGGAGTAGAACCAGAAGAAGCACACTTTGTGTCCTTACTTAGGCCATGTGAATGATGACGTAGAAACACTGTAAGAACCAACATTTCTACAGCATTTATGAAACACCACTGTATCCATGGCCTTATTTTTCTTTCTTCAACATGACCTTGTGACGTCATATTTGCATTAGCCTCTCTTGAAAAGGAAATGCAAGTTGAACGATATGGAATAACTTGCTTTTAGTCAGGCAATAAATGGTGTCTGAAATTAATTTGGAAATAATTCCATGAAGCTCTCTCACCTGACACAATAAAATAAACTAAAACAAATTTTATATGACTTGAAGAGTTAAACAAAGAATTTAAAAAAAAAACAAAAACAAACAAAGGGGAATACATAGCTCAGGGTCAACTTAGCTTCATCTCTGGAATAATCTTAAGATGCTTCCAATCAATGCAGAAAGACTTTTTAGCCATAAAAGTATTGACAGAAAAATAAATAAATCAATAAAATAATTACTGACAGAACATTGTAACAAATCACTAATGAAAAATAGTAAATAGTTAAAAATACAAAAATTCTATATATCCAAATACAGGGAGGTCATCAGCAGCCCTAGAGAAAACTGAGAAATGAGTGCCTTCCTCACTACAAATTTCATGAAAGCATACTTTTCAGTCTCCCTACAGAATGAGTAGACATTAAGAAAATGCAATGAATGGAGAGCAGAACAAGCAGACATTAGGAAAATGGAATGAATAGAGAACTTGCAGAAAGGTAAACACACGGATCTAGCTAGCATGTTTATATAAGAGTCAAAGATGTGTAAGATCAAACAAGGGGCCCACGCTCCTGTCAGTGTGACTGTGATGGGGACTCACAGTGCAGGTGACAGGAGAGTGGACACTCATCACAACGACAAGTGTGAAAACTGAGAGAATCTTCTAGACAGCTGAGAAGACCCTACTAAGAGCTTAAAAAGACACACAGCACTGGGGTAACTCTGCTCTGGATCTGACCTCCCTCCCCACACCCCACCCTCTGGGGAGCAATCAGTCTCAGAGGGGTCAGTGTTCTGGAATATTTAAGCAGTAATAGTTTGCATAGTTTTATATTCTAGGATACCCATACCACATAAAAATGCTTAGAAATGGTTCCTATTTGTTTGGTGGGTTAAAGGTGTTTTGTGTATGTATGCAAGTGTGTGGTATGTATGCCTGTGTGTTCACGTGTGCAGATGTGCATGCACATGTGTACATATACATGTGAAAGCCTTGAGGTCGATCAGGTATGTTCTTTGACTGAATGTACTGCATACATTGAGGCAGAACTCTCTCTGAACCTGGCACTTACCATTTTGTCTTGTCTGGCTGGCTGACTTATTCAGGGACTCCCCACCTGTGTCTCCCAAACGCTAGGATTATAGACAGGCCACCATGTCCACTCAGTCCTGTATGTAACTTCTGGAGATATGAAACCTAGTCCTCACACTTACATGGCTTCCCTTGGTTTGCTGTGAGGTCTTTACTTCCTTGAACTTGACAAGGAAGTTCCCAGCTTCCTTCCCATTCTGAGATGCCACGGGCGGGTGGGGAGGTAGAGGAGCTGGACTGGGTGGAGTCAACACTCTTTACCCATGCTGGGCCAGAGGGGCTATGCAGCATCAAATCGTCTGTGATTCTTGATGCCATGAATCAGCACCCTGTAAAACTCAAAGCTGAAGATCAAACACACTGCCACACATTTTGTAAGAATGAGGCCAAATCCATACTCCACATCTGCTCTCTGCCTTCAATCAAGACGTAGCCCAATCCCACAGCTCAGTAAATCTGGGGAAACAATCAGAATGTCACTTTATACAGTGTAGAGTTATGCCCAAAGTGTGCTGTATTATAACAGTGTCAACGTATCATTTTACTATAATAATAATTACTATTATTACTATTAAAACTATTACTACTGCTACTACTGCTACTGCCACCCACAGAAGCAATGGCCAGGACTAGTTGTCTCAAAGGGACGTTCCTGTCCTCGCTCTCATGTCCATTTCTCTGTGTATAAACTGTTCTCACTCTTTCTCCCTCGCTCTGCAAGCGCTGTTGTCTCACAGCATCTAAATAACTCAGTGATCCACGTACTCATTCAGAGTCCAGGGAAACAGAGGTCTTTGAAGCATTCCCACCGAATCGCCCATTCAGAACTACTGACAAGGAGAGAGGCGTTCAGAGGTCTTTGAAGCATTCCCACCAAATCGCCCATTCAGAACTACTGACAAGGAGAGAGGCGTTCACACACAGCATGTTCACCAGAAGAGGACTGGTAACAATCTAAACACAAAGTACAGAGGCCTAATAAAACCAGTGTTTTATGTTCCAGGTATGGTATGGAATAGCAAGCAAACACAGCAGAAACTCTAGGTCTTGTTCCACACACTGTGGTGGGCTCCCAGAGTGAACCCTCCCTCATGGGCTAGCCTATCTCAATCCCCTCTGTTGGCCCTTCCTCCATGTCCCAAGCTCTCAATGTAGAAAGGACCCAGGAATTCATCCCCAGCTAGGGTCTCCTAACTCTCCTGACTTCATGCTAACTCTGGTGGTATCCCAGGCCCACAGTTAAGCCATCATTCACTGACACCCAAATCTCTGCCTCCAATCCAGAGTTAAGCCATGTGCTCTAACACAGACATTATTGTGCTTCTGGAAGCACCCAGGTCAGAAAGCACCTGTCACCATACTGTCTGCTCCTGGCCCACAGCACCCTGTAAAAGCAAAGCATCTAACCAGTCTCTCAGGCCAGAATTCATGGGATCATTTAAACTCCTTTCTTACAAGTCCTACTTTTTGTGGGTGTACTCCCCAAACTGAGGCCTACATTGCCATTGCCATCCTGGATCAAGCCCGTTACCAGCTTTTCAATTCTAACAATTCCACTCTTGCTCCTCCTTAGCCGATTCACCACACAGCAGCCAGCAGGAGCTTTTTAAACCATGTATTAGCCATTATCCCTTCTCCCAAACTTTCAGTGGCCTTGTACTCACTAAGACTATAAACCAAACTCCTTACCATGGCTTTCAGTCCTCATGAGCTCTGGGCCTCTCTGCCTGTATAACCTCTGCTCTGTCTCACTCTGCCTCAGCCCCACTACCCCACTGCCCCACTAACGGCCAATCCCCCAGAAGCCCATCCTAATTAACTTCAACTCTCAACATGGCCTAGGATCACCGGAGAAGGAAGTCTCAAGAAAGGGGCTGTCTAAATCAGATTAGCCTGTGGACATGCTGGGAGATCACCTTGACTGATAACTGATGAAAGCCTACAGTAAAAGCAGCACTATTCCCTGAACAGGTAGTCCTTGGCTGTTAAAGAAAGCGAGCTAATCAGGAACCTGTGCACAAGCCAGCAAGAACCATTACTCCATGATTTCTGCTCCAAGTTCCTCCGCCTTCCCTCAGTCTACTGTAACACGGTAGGATAAGTCAAATAAGCCCTTTCATCCCCTAGGTTGCTTTTGGCCCGCGTTCATCCTAGCAACAGCAAGGAAACCCAAACAGAGCCCTTGTCCATGCCCCTCCACCTGGAAAGCTTATCCACCCTGTCTTCTCTTTCGGGTCATCTCCTAGGCAGTCTTCCCCGGCCACCTCAGCTAAACACATCTTCCCCGCCGCGCCTGCCCTCACGCTGCCGTTGTTTTCCTCCGGCAGCTCTTATCGCGCTGTCATTACGTTATGTAACGATCATTTTCTTGTTTGTTTTCTGGTGCTGTCGCTAGAATGTTCAGGAGGGCTGGATCTTATTCCCTTTGCTTGGAACACTCAGTGCTGGGCTCTCAAGAGGCACTCAAATATTTTCAGAAATGATTAATGAATATGTGTGCGGTTATAGAACAATTTCTAAAATATATCGCCACATTCAAAGAAGACAGAGTGCAAAGGATGGCTGGAATGCTCTGGAAGCCTACATGGGAACTGTCAAAGGTGGCTGTTTCTGGGAAAGGAGGCCAGTAGGAACACGGGAAACAATTTTCAGTGATAAATTTTATAGTGCTTGAATTATTTCCATGAGCATGAATTGCCTTTTCAATTAAAAAAAATCCTTCTGTCTGGTCCCATGTATTCTAATTGGTCCAGCTGGTTAAGACACATTCGCCTTGGTAATAAAACCCTTTACTCTTCCCTGCCGCCTACCCAGCCTCCTTAGGCTTCGCCAGTTCTCTGAATGGGGACCATCACAAGCTGAAGGATTTGGGTTTGGTTTTGTTTGATTCTTCTCTTTTCCTCCCAAGGCCATGTTACTATACTATTCTAACAGCTCTAATGACAGTGTCTCTCCTCAGGAAGGGCACCTTTCTGCTCCCTTCCCAGTGAAGCTGAAAGCTAGTGTTCACCGATTTCCTAGTGACCTCCTGAAGGCCAGTTCCAGATTGTGCCAGTCACATCCTCATGGGTCATTAGCTTGAATGAAGACCTTTGTAAAGGACAGCTGGAATGTCCTGCCCCCCTGCTGCTCCGGCCTGGCTCCACAGAACCTGAGGTCTAGAGCTATCTTGTTCTGCATGCAGGAAGCAAAGTGCACTCCTAGGTTTTTAAGTGAGGTTTTGAAAGACCTGGGACTAAAACTTAGTTCCATGGCCCCGGATTCTTTCTGTCTACAGCTCCCATCCACACTTCAAATCTATCCCGATTATCTTTCCCCTTGTACTGTCTGGTTAGTTTTATTTGTCAACTAGACACGAGCTAGTGTCATCTGGGAAGAGGAAACCTCACTTGAAAAAATGCTTTCACTGAGAAAATGCTTCTACCAAACTGGTCTGTAGGCAAATCTGTGGGGTTCTTCTCCTGATTAATGACAAATGTAAGAGGGTCCAGCCTATTGTGGGTGGTCTTGGGTCACATAAGAGGAAAAAAAAATAACTGAACAAGCCATGGGGGAGCAAGCAGCATCCTCTATATTGGCTCCTACCTGGAGCTTCTGACATGGCTTCCCTTGATGACTCATCATGGACATGAAAATGTAAGCTGAACTAAACCCATTCCTTCCCTGAGTTGCTTCTGGTCATGGCTTTTATCAGAGCAGCAAGAAAAAGCAAACTAATAGACCCCTTAACTCCAGGTTCCTGAGGGAAGTAGAAGAAAGCCAGGGAAGAGGCAGCGAGAGGTAGACCAGAACACCAATGGCCTTCACTGTCTCTACAGGAAAACATGGGTGGGCGTCTCCCCACCCCACATATAAACCACATCCATCCTTGTACATATATGCACGCAAATAATAAATCACTTTGGCATAATGTGTACTGTTGAGAGTTTATATAATGCTATTAACCTCGTTTTCTCCAACAGGAGTGATATATGAACTACGTGGGTGGGCTTGAGAGAAGGTTCGGGGGGTTAAGAGTACGAACTGCTCTTCCAGGGGACCCAGGTGTGATCCCCAGCACCCATATGGTGACTAACAGCTGTCTCTACCTCCAGTTCCAGGGTATTCAATGTCCTTATCTGGCACACGGATATACATGCAGGCAAAACTCCCATAGACATAAAATAAAAATCAATAAATCTCAGAAAAATTAAAAAGAGCTATATGAACCAGGCAGAGTACATGAATATTAAGTTTTAAAAGGTGCCTGAACCTCAAGGAGGCCATGCTCTAATGGGAAAGATTTATGACTATAACACACTGTGGGAAGAATTTTTGTGAAAACAAAAGGTTTAAGAAAGCTTAAGGTGATTATGTATCGAAGACTCCAAGAAGACCTGACATTTGAACTAGCTACAGAGTTTGAAATGGATCTTCTGATTAGAGATGTATGGGGCCAACAGAGTGTGCAGAAAGGGAACCGTGAAGAATAATTAATAAGGTCAGAGCAGCAAGCAAGCGCCTTTGTAACTGAACAACGAGACGGAGAAGGAGGGTCCGGATTCAAAAGGGCCCGCAGGGGTACAGCCTTGGCCAAAAGACTCTGTACACATGGTCACATATTTTGTCAGTAGACATGACAGAAGTGATCCCCTCATGTCTGAGCAGAGGCAGGGAGCCATGCAGACACTCACCCGAGGAAATGCCTTTCCTTTCCTCACAGCTAACAGATGAATAGGTATCTGGGTCTAGGTAGATCTGGTGGCTCTGAATGTTTAATTAAATGAATTTCCTAAACACAGAAAGTATGACACATTTTAATGTGCTGCTCTCCCCCTCTCTCTATGGCAACTAACCTTAATTATCTCAGCATGCTGAGCTCAAGCAGATAGCTTACCTGTTTATCTTCAGAGAGAACAAGAGTTTTCCCTGATTAAATATACATCTTATAGGTAAAACTTAGTGAAGCAGCATTGGAATCCATATGTGTATTCAAATGTAAGGGCCTGCAATGAGAGGAAAGAGCAACACTTAGAAAGTTGTTATGTTGGGCCGCTGTTATTCAAAGACCAGAAAATGGCTGTTAAAAACTCACCACTTCCTAGGTTCCTGACTACTGGTTGATGTCCTAGCATCTCTCTCCATTCCCAGAGAAAAGGTTATCTAGGCTACTTTCTGACCCTCTCACCTCTTCCCCTTTCACCCAGGCATGTTCCCACCATCTAACACCATCAGGACCCAGATCTATATTCCTGTGGTGATATTTTGCTTGTAATCTAACAAATAAAGCTTGCCTGAAGATCAGAGTACAGAGCTAAGCCACTGGTTAGACAAAGAGGCCGGGCAGTGGTGGCACACACCTTCAATCCCAGCACTCTAGAAGAAGCAGACAGATCTCTGTGAGTTCAAGGCCACCCTGAGCTACACTAGATTGATACAGTCTCAAAGAGAAATAGAGCCAGGTGGTGGTGGCACACACCTTTAACCCAGTATTTGGGAGTCACACGCCTTTAATCCCAGCACTAGGGAGGTTGAGACAGGAAGGGATATGGCTGGATGGAAAGACAAAAGTAAAGCAGGAAGAAGCAGAGCTCCAGACATTCAGTCTGAGGATTCATAGAAACAGGAGCATGCCCCTTTTTGTTCTAAGGATTTTGTAGAGGTAAGAACTAGTGGCTGGCTGCTCAGGTTCTCTGATCTTTCAATTTTCACCCCCTAATACCTGTCTCTGGTTTTTATTATTAAGACCAACTAGAAATCGCGCAACATAGTCACAGGGCATATATAACCCCTAAAGTTTGTTTTCTGTTTTTGTTTTGTTCTGTTTTGTTTTTTTAGCTTTTTGAGACAGGGTTTCTCTGCATACCCTTGGCTGTGCTGGAACTCACTTTGAAGACCAGACTGGCCTTGAACTCACAAAGATCCACCTGCCTCTGCCTCCTAGTGCTGAGATTAAAGGTGTGCACCACCACTGCCCGTAAAGAATTTTTAAAAGGCTTTTCTAAACTAGGCTCAGTAGCACATACCTATAGTCCCAGCACTTAGGAGCCTGAGGCAGGAGGATTCCAGGTTTGAGATTAGTGAGGCCCTTTCTCAAAAGACAATTTTTTGAAACAAACAAAATAATTATTCCCAAAGACCACAGCACACACACACAAATACAGTCAAGGCTATACGGCAACTGAAAGAGAAAACTCTCTCTAGGATCAAGCAAAGGTGAAAGGCTGCTGAATTCATAGCAGCCTACGCATTCAGCCAGTTATCTATTCAACCAATAATCACAGAGCATCCAACATAAGCCGAACTGTAGCCCAGCACTTGTAAATACTAAGAGGCATAGCAAATTGTCTTACCCTCAGTGAACTACATCTCTTGATACCTGCAATTTTGTGCAGCATAAATTGTTCAGAGAAAAAAATCTGAGATTCAAAGAAGTTTAGTCATTTCAAGACTAAAAATCTCAGCCAGGGAAGATTTGATGTAAGGCAAAAAAAAAAAGAACAACAACAAAAAAACCGGAGTGAGGGGTGTAGACTGAGCCATAAACTCAGGGAGCCAAGGTGTGACACATGTCACAAAAGAAGTACCCTTGCCTGATGGGTCATTGACAAAGGAAGGAGAGGACAGGAAGTGAGGAAGGGACATGTTGGGAGTGTGGAGGGGTGGGAAGGAGAAGTTGGAGGTGCATATGATCCAGATGTGCTTTTTACATGTATGAAATTACCAAAATATAAATAAAAGATATTCTTTTTAAGATGCCAAGGAGGCCATGTGTCTAGTGAGACCCCCAGCTCTGAGATCCGGTAGTTGTAGGCAAATTATTCAACTGTAATGGGGGTTAATAACCTTTCCTGCAAGAAGCTAGTGGGGAATCACTTAAGAAATAACATATGTAAAGTACTCCATGCAGTACCTGGCACTCAGTGAGTCAATAAAAGTGAGCTATGACATGTCAAACGCAGCAAGCCCCAAACCAAAATCATTACCTGTTCCTAAACTCATTTCTTCAGCACCTGTATTCTCCATCTGCAGCTTCCACCTACTCATCAGTCTCGATTCCATACCTCACACCTCCTCCCCCAGCAGACTGCACCATCATCCTCAGTTTCAGTTAAGTCTCCCTCATGCCCTCCTCTCCCTGCCCCCACCTTCACCCCTTTAAACCTTTAGCCCCCAGTGTTCCCCCTTATTTCATATCACAAGCATTATACTATCCCATCTCTGCATTACAACCATTTCCCCTTGCCCTTGCTTCCTGACCTTTACAGACACTCAATGCTAAACACAAACATCTAAAAATTCATAGCTAGAAAGCTCTTATGAGTTGAGAGCAACAACATTTGTCTTTGTGGGTCTGGCTCACCTCTATTCATCAACTGAAAGACATCCAGACTGATTCCATTTTTTGGTTCCTGCAAGCAGAGCAGCAATGAACATGGATGTACAAGGCATTTCTGTAGTAGGATATGGAACCATTTGAGTATATGCCCAGCAGGGGTATAGTTGGTTGTATGGTAGCTTTAATTTTAGCTTTTTTTAGAAGCCTACACATTGATTTCCATAGAGGTTACATCAATTTACACTTCCACCAGCATTAATAAGGGTTCATGTTCTCCACATCCTCATCTATGTTGTAAGCTAGGCTCAAACTCAGGAATCTGCCTGCTTCTGCCTCCAAGTGCTCTTATTTAAGATGTGAAGCATCACGTGTAGCCAATCATTGATCCCCATTTTATTAACTTCTTCCCTGGTTTTAACTTTTCTTTGTCTACTAGTTTGGAATTGTCTTGCTCGACTCTAGGAATTTAAATAAATAGATAAAATGAGATCTGTCATTTTTCTTTCCTTCCTCTTTCATTTTTGGTGGAGGGGGAGGGTGTCAAGACAGCATTCTCTGTGTAGGAAGCCCTGGCTGTCCTTGAATTCAGTCTTTAGACCAGGCTATCCTCGAACTCAGAGATCTACCTGCCCACACCTCTCAAGTACTGCAACTAAAGGAATGGTCCACCTCACTCAGCTTATCTCTGATTTCTTAATGCAAGTGCTTAGCATTATAAGCACTTCCTTCTTAGGCTGCTTTTGTTGTATCCAGAAGGATCTGGTATGTTTTGTTTTCATTTTCTTCTAGATGTTTTTACTCCTTTGAGTTCTTCATGACTCCATTCAGCATTCATTACTGTGTTGTTTAATGCAATGCCCAGGACTGTGTATGCTCTGGGGTTTCTCTTGCTGTTGATCTGTAGTCTTATCCCACCATGGTCAGAATACAAGAACTTATGTCTATTTTCCTGTATTTGTTAAGTCTTGCTTCATGTCCTAATGTAACCTATTTTAAAGAAAGTTCATGGACTGCTGAGAAAAATATGTATTCTACAGTGTTTGCATGGGACTTTCTGTAGATGTCTGTTGAGCCCATTTTATCTATGATATAATTTAACTCAGATATTTCCATTTATTTTTTTTTTGGTTCGGGTGACCTATCAGATGGTGGAAGTATTGAAACATCCACTTATTTTTCTGGGGTTAATCTCTGACCTTACATCTAGTAGTATTTGAGTTTGGGACATAAAGTCTTAGATAATAATGTCCTCTTGATGAATTTGCTCCCTTAATCAACATGAAGTGACTTTATCTTTTTTTCAGATACTAGCACAGTGACACCTACTTGTTTCATAGGTCCATTTGCTTGTTACAACGTTGTCTCTTCTACCACCCTAAGACAGTGTCTGACTTCAGTAGTGAGGCATGTTTCTTGCAGGCAGCAAACAGGTGGTTCCTGACTTCTTTCTACAATCTTCTAGCCTGTGCCTTTTGATGGGTGAACTGAGACTATTACTATTCAGAGTTATTATGAAAAGTTTTATACTGACACCCGCTATTTTGTTCATTTTTTGTGTGTGCCCCCCCCCATCATTCTAGCATGATGTATTTCTTCCTGTGGCTTCATGGGTGGATTTGTTTATCTCTTCAGTCTGCAGGATCCTTTGAGTATCTTCTGTAGAACTTGGTGCTTATAAATTACTTAGACCTACTTTTATCAGAAAGTTATTTGTTCTTCCATTATGATATACAGCTTTATTGGTTATAGTATTCTAGACTGGCATTTGGTATTTTATATCATTCCAAGTCCTTTATAGCTTTTAGTATTTCAGTTGAATAATTCAATGTTATTCCAATACTCCACTTTTATAAATGACTTGAAGCTTCCCTACTGTCCGTTTCAATATACTTTGTTTATTCTGTATATTTAGTGTTTAATTATAATATGATATAAAGTTCTTTTCTGGCATTGTCTGTGTAATGTCCTAAATGTCTCGTATATGGATTGACATCTCTTTTTCTAACTCTGAGAATGTTTTTTTTTTGTTATGATTCCTTTGCAAATCTTTTCTGTACCTTTAGAAAGAGGTCCTCCTTCTATGTTCATAACCTGTAAATTTACTCTTTCCAGGGTGTATCTCATATATCTTAATCTTAAAGTTCCCCCTGGTGACTAATTATCATTTTATCTTTGTCCTAGTGGGATGGCCAGTTCCCCACCTCATCTTCAAGCTCAGATAGCCTGTCTTCTCCTTGCCTCTGTAGATGAAACTTGCCACAGCTTTCTACTTGATGTACTGTGCTTTTTATCTCCAGCATTCCAGGGCGTTTTTCTTCAGTATTTCTATCTCTTTGCTGGAGTCTTCTTTCAACTAGCTCATCACGTTCCTTGTCTTGTCCAGCTGTCTGTGTCATTGCACATACTTACAATCTCTACTGTGAGTTCTCTGAGACTTCGTCTCACCGACTCTCACTAGATGCCATTCCTTTAAGGTTAATAATTTTTGGAAGGGTTCTGTGTCTTGTTCCCCCCCCCCCATATTTCTCATGTTACTGTGTTGGTATTTATGCATCTGGTGTTATTTTGTTGCTTGGTTTATTTTTTATTCAGCTATATTCCTTCAGTTGAAGTATTTGCAATGTTCAGATGGGACTTGGATGAGCATATAATTGAGAAAATAATTTC